CCCTCAGTGAGGAAGCACAGTCAGCTCAGCGTGCTGAAATGGAGCGGCGGAAGCGATTACAGGACAAAGAACAAGCTCCAGCCTCAAACAGCAGTGCCGTCACAACTTCTGAAGGTGCTCTTTCATGTATATTTCTGATTTGTTGGTTATCTTCCTTGATTTTGATCAACTTTATAGATTAATTGTAATGAAGGTCACGGATGAGTTATGTCGTTTTTTGGTGACAACTATACGCGCCTAGGCTTATTTAACTTCGATTATCTTCATTGTGCTACCAGGCGAAGCCGGAAGCGTCACCGAAGAAGACTTCACCAGCAAGCTCAAATCCCTCTCCACAGACTCTCTCTCAGCGGAACCAGCCAAAACACCAGTGGATTTTGGACTTTCTTCTGATGTCGCTGCGTTCAACAATGGGATTGACGCTCACTCTCCTCCCTCCCCTTCTTCCTCTTCAACCGGTCTACTGACGCAGTCTAGTGCAGAGAACAAGCCTTCTCCCGCCGCCGTGCCCTCTGCTTCTGCCTCCCTCTTCAAATCCTACTCTCGGTCTAGGCCTGACCACAAATCAAGCCTCCATGAGCCAAAAAGTACCGGTGATTCCCAAGACAATGCAATCCTCCTCGGCGACTCGGATGACGATGTCGACATGGTGCGGTGGGGCAGTGCTTTTGCGCTTTTTGGGAGTATTTCATTCATAGCGTCGCCATTTTGTGGCTTTCCGATTTAATTTGACCGCAGTCGATGGAGCACATACTGTTGGATCTAGTTCCATTGACAATGCCACGAAAGTTTTTCCGACTTGGAGTTTTCGGTTCTTGAGCAGTACAAAAAGTATCTGGAACTTTGCTATGATTACAGAGGCCCAGGCCACCACGCGACCTGTTTACTTCTTGAAAACACTTTGTGGAGCTCGGAACTTTTCTTCTACCACCCTACGTCAAGCTTAATGTTTTCGTCCATGATTCTGAACTTTTGTGCAAATACAACGACCCATATCAAGTCATTACTGGGATATGAGGTTATCTAACCTGTTGACCGAACAATCCATATCACGAAAGTTAGGGATCTTTTGGAGTTTAAACTCTGGGACATGAACTGTCCTCCCATTTTGACGGTTTTAAATTCGCCGGATTTGCTGCTTTGAATAACTTACGACAACTGTCCTTCCAAGAGCCTAGTATAGAAAAAAAGCGCCACTTTTCAGATTTGCACAACTCACCTAGTCCTTTTGTATCCTTTTCATAAGTTGTAGGAACTTCCTAAGATTAGTGCTGCTACGACAGTTGAAGTCTAGAAATATGCTGTGTGGACCGCCTTCCTCTGTGCTTACAGGTATGGGTCACTCCAAGCTGAAGAGTTAAATTCAGGTTTGTTCAACTGCTTATGCCATAGAAGTCTGTTCCTCGCGTGCATCACCAGTCTCTGCGAATACGGAAAGAAAATTACTTGATAATGATGAGGATGTGTGTCACCTGGACATACAATTCGGTGACAACCACGGTCTATAATGCATCAACGTCACTCCTAGAAGGGCCAGAGATGATTATCTGTTGACATCAGCAACAACTCATGAAAAGCCAGAGTGGACATATTTTCTGCCTTTCTTAATGTTATTCTTTTCCTAATATAAAACCATGCCTTACGACTGTCACCAGCGACTAGAAGTCTACTCTTCCATATTCATAATCATTATTAGCGAAATTACCTAGTTGGTAT